TAGGTGGTGTGACGACGATGTACAGCTTATTACAACTTTTTTTTTTTTTTTTATGGAAAAATAATTTTTATAGTTTTATTATTTTGTTATTTAAGTAGGTATAATATATAAATGATCTTATATTATGTATACTTATGAAAATGGTCGACAGAATTGTAGTGACAAATATATGATGATATTATTAGAGTTGTCAATCAATGAAATATAAGATTAAATTTTGTTAGTATTCATTAATTTAAGAGATCAAAATGATAGTAATAGTAATATGAATATGCCGGATCAACATAAGTTATAAGGATAGCCAACATATATTTATACATATTTACAAATATAACATATATTATATTATAAATCAACATATACTATTTATAACACATATATAGTTAAATCAACATCATATTGCCTTGATCCGATCAGCAGCCTAATAATATATATATAAAGCTACTTATGAGTTGAAAACAAACAAGAACAAATAAAAAATAAGGTGTGTTTGTTATGTGTATTGACATTTGAAGTGTTTATATCGTAAGGTATAAAAAAGATGTGTTGATAATACAAAAAAATAATATTTTTTATAAAATAATTGACTTTTTTTTTTTTTTTTGTAATAAGTTTGTGGTTCCGATAATTGCAACCGATCCAGAGCAAAATGTGGTTGGTTGTGCTCCGGTGTATCCGTATGATTTCCAAATATAAAATAATTTATATCATTTCGAAGCAACACCACACACAAAAGGTCCGGAGAATAGGTCAATCTTTTATGTTTCTAATTGGGTGTGGATATGTTTTTGTGTTCCGTTCTCCTGTATTTGATGAGATTGTCAATATTTTAATGTGGTTTGCATTTTTTTTTATCATTTATAATAATAAAAAAATAGTTATTCTTTTAATAAAAAAAATAGAAATTTTAGTGAAAAAATATATTTACTTTTTATGACAAACAAATAAAAAAAGCCCTATTCTTTAACCAGAGAGTGTGAATTATATAGTTTGTATAACTACTTTTTATAATATTAATAAAAAATATGTCTAAATTTTTTTTGTTGGGTTAAATCCTAATAATCACGCTGAATAATGAAAATATAAGTAAAGGATATATTATTAGATTTTATTTTTTTTGTTTTGATTTTATTAAATTTTGATTTTAACGTTGACATTAAAATATAGTTTTAATTAAAAAAAAAAATCAAACTCAAACATAAATCAAACAAACCCCAAGAGTTAAGAGCATGAGAATTGGTGTATGTTTATTTATGTTTCTAAGGTGTTTTTTATTTAAAAAGGAAGAAGAAGCAAATATTGTAAAATTAAAATACATATTACTTTTACTAAAATTATTATCATAGAAAAATAAAATAAATAAAGAAAAAACAAAGAAACATAGACAAAGACACCCTTAATGCTGCAAGAAGACAAATGAGGCTAAGGATAGGGATCACTCACAACTCATTACCCCCCACAATGCTCATTATTGAGACACACATACATCTATATGTCCAACATTACCTAATACAAGGATTTTAAATAAATACATCACAACAAAACATACGACACTTATTGTCACCATACATAAACATAAATATATATATATATATATTATTGGTAAATTTCAATATCGCTACTATTTAACTGGCATACAGTCTATTTTATTACATTAACATCTGTAGATTGATTTTATTTATGGCAAAATTGTTCATAATCCATTTTCATTTTAAAAAATCTGCACAATTCTTTCACATGATTTAGAAGCCGCGTGAAACTTTATTGTATTTTAAAAAATATTGTACAGAATCTCATTTTTAAGGGTTTCTGTGTAATATTTTTGAAAACACGAAAAATTTCGTACAATTTTTAGTGAATTTTGTGCAATATTCTTCAAAATACGAAATAGCTGCATGCAACTTTCAAATCATAAAGAAGAATAATGCAGAATTTTCAAACTGCAACTGAGTTATATATAATTTTTGGATCATCTAATTAACTTGGTTTAAATGTTGAACTGATACATACTGTCAGTACATAATTTGAATAAATATAACTTGTGCTGTGTTGATTTTTAAAATATATTGTTAATCTATATTTTAAAAGTGTGGTTTTTATTTACATTGTTATGAACTCAATTCAATTATAGTCTATATTGTATGAATTAATGTTGTTGATTTAAGTTCATATACTCATTTCGTTCCATAAAAAGAGTAACGTTTAATTTTTTAACGTAGTTTTTTTAATATTAGTATTATATTGAATTGTAGTAAAAAAGACAAAAATATTTTTATTAGTATTATGTAATATAAAAATAATGGCATTTGTATAATACTCCCCCCGTCCCACCTACTATGTTCATATTGCCGTTTCTGTCCGTTTCACATCTCATGTCACTTTTCTTTTTTGAAAAATGATTACACACTTAATCTCATTTTAAATTTTTTAATTTTAATTAAACTAATTAGTTAAATTTATAATTATTTATATTATAAGATAATTTACTAATACATTTTTAATTCTCTACTAATTATACTTATCCTAAATTCTCGTGTCTACTGTAACCCGGACATCCAATGTGGGACCGAGGGAGTAGATTGTAAATTGAAAGGGTATCAATTATATATAATAGGTAGGTAGCACAATTATTAAATTAGAAAATTGTACCCTTGTTTTTTTACGAACGAAAATGGAAAATGAACCTCTTCTTATAGACCGAGACAATATTTTATTTGTATTATGCTATCTATATCATATGACGTATATCTATACTTCACGTAACGTCATACTGACTACTGATTATCACCGCACCGCATAAATAACAACCGTATTTAATTCAATTAATAGATGACGTGATCGTCATGATGCTCATTCTTTTACCGGCCACGATCATGCCACGTCGATATCTTAAAACGGTCTCATCATCACACTCTAACTTTAGTGTCAGGCCGGTGACGACGAGCATTGCTAAAAATACATAAAATACAATACTAAATTTAGAGCATTACGTAAATGGTACAATCAAAACCATTTACTTCGAACGATATCTAAATTTAACCTACTATCGACATAATTTCGCCAAAAAATGTCGTATTAATTGAATTTTTGGAATCGCTATAGCATATGATCATTGAAAGTCAATTTGAATTTAAATATATTGTAGCATATCATCTATGTTAAAAACATACAATTTCATAGTTGAGTTCTTTTAAATTATCCATTCGTTAAATAAGTTTTCATTTATCGTTTACGTGGTCCTCACTCAATTATTAATTTACTATTTCTCTCATTTCTATTTATCAAAATAACATCACAAACATATATATATATATATATAACCACTATTGGTATTTACAATTTAAACAAATTCACTAACCATTACAACATTATTATTTTTTAATTTATTATTGTTGAGATATTTTAGGTTGATATGATTCAAGTCTATCTAATTAAATGTCATCCCTATTTACAGACCCCATTTTCATATAAATATAATACAATATTTTAATTGTCAAAAAAATATTATTCTCATATATTTTAGTAAACTCTCATTTGTAGATAAATGATATATGAACTCGTCCCTTATTTGTTTGTTGTTGTCTACGTGCAAATTTTTGTTTCGGTGGCGTTTAGATGAAACAATCATTTATATTATAAATATAAAAAAAAATTTATTTAATAATTATTTAAGTAGAGCAGAGGCGAGTAAAAATAAAAAAGAGGAAAGAGAAATAGAGAGAGGGGCAGGCAGGGATAGGGAAATGTGGGAGGAATTGGTCCCAGGATGTTTTGGATTTTTAGGACAAGATGAAGGGAGGTGGGCTAGGCACGGTTTGGGACAAGTTAGGCACATCCCCCCCGCAACCACAGCATAAAGTGGCCATCCCATTACCACTTACACTTATACACCCTTACCCCTTGTTCCCATGTGCATCAATTTAAGAGCATCCTTCCAAAACCCAAACCCTAACCCCCCCAAACCCATACCCGACCCGGCCCGACCCCATATCCGAACAATTAATCTCAATATTGACAATATTATTACATGATCAGGGTGGGTTATAATTTGGGGTGGCTAAGAAGTAAGAAGAAGTAGCTAGGGTCAAACATCCATGTGCCTAGTGCTATTATTTTGCCACAATCCTACAAAAAAGATTGATTAGAATGGGTGCCCTGCCCTGCCCTATCTATGTATCTATCTTTGGCTTGGATATACAATACACTAATGATCGATCAAATGAGATGATGATGGATATTATCAACAAGATTAAAAACAAAAACAGGGTGAGGGGTGGGGTGAGGTGCGGTGGTAGCGGACTATATGCCAGGAACTTCATCCATCCTCTAATTATATGCTAATTTGATTGGATATGAATTTTTAAAAAAATATAAATTTTTACCTTTTTAGGGTAAAAAAAAAGTAAAAGATTGATATTTTTTTACAAAAAAATAAAAATAAATTTAAATAATAATAAAAAAATAAAAAAAGAATAAATTTGATGAGGGAAGAATAGTATTTTTGTGGACAAAATTATATTTCGTCAATTCCAATTCAAAGCATATTTTTTATTATTTTCCTCCGTCACACTCCAAATATCACTGTTCTATTTTAGTAAAACTATTTTATTTTTACCCTAAATTACAAATAAAGAATTTCACCTAAAGTCAAATGATAAAATCTTAAAACTTCTTACACATTTTTACAAATTAATAAAATATTATATTATTTTTTAATTTATTTAAATCCGAAATGGTCATTTCGACATGGACTGAGGGAGTGTATATATATATATATGTATTGATGATTTCCAGAGAGATTGATGGCAACAGTGGGCAGAAAAACCTCACCATCTGCGACATTAATTAAGGGATGAAACTTCATTTTCCAACTAATTATAGTATACCACATACATAAATAAATAAATAAACCATTTAATTAAATAAATCAAAATTTCTCTCTCTTGTTTCTCTCTCCTTTCTTTCTTCAGGTTGGCCAGGCCAGAAGGAAGGGTGTTTGTTTCTGGACACATGACATGATCAGAGGAGCATTGGCCACTCCCCTTATTAATGTGTGGTCTCTCATTAATGTTATTCTCATTTATGACAACCCACACAAACAGAAGAGGAGGAAGAAGAAGATGATGATGATGATGAAGGAGATGTGTAAGAGAGAGAAAAAGAAATAAATAGGGGAGGGGCATTCTTGGTATTTCACATCCCTCCCAAGGCTCTTCTTCACAGTTCACAAACTAGTTGACCCTTAAAATTTCAAGCCGTAGCTTCCTTCCCTCTTCCTTAATCCTCTCTTTCTTTCTTTCTCTTCTCTTCTCAGTATAAATTAATAAAATCATCAAGAAACAGACAGACAGACAGACAGAATAGATAGATTGGAATTGATCGAAGATGGTGGAATTGGATTACTTCCATTTGTTCTGGGGGGTTTTGATCTCCTACGTTGGGGTGGTTCTTGTCCTAAAAGTGGTGGTTCATCTGTGGTGGACTCCGAGGAGGATCGAAAACCATTTCATGAAGCAAGGGATTCGAGGGCCAAAGTATGAGTTTTTCTTGGGGAATTTGAAGGAGTTGGCTACCCTTAACTTGACAGCCTCAGCTCAATCCATGGCCCCCTCCCACAATATTCTCCCCAGAGTCCTCTCCTTCTACCACCATTGGAAAAAAATCTATGGTAATAACATTAACAACAACAATAACTGTAATAATGAAATAATTAGTGTTTTTATACATTACCCTCTATTTTTGTGATTTGTGCGATGAAAGAAAAATAAAAAATGAAAAAAGTTTTAAGTTGGGAGGATCATTGTGGTTGTTGTAGGGTCTACACTGTATCTATTGTTTGGAAGAATATGAATATGTGTGTGTAATAACACAATCATTTAGCTATGTATGTGCTTCCTCTTTTGGTAAACTCCATGTTTAATTAACCTCGAGATAGTTTGTGGAAAATGAGGTGAGGTTTTTTGTTATACTTATGGCCGGTGGTACATGCAATTAATATATATATATATATTTACAGGGTCGATGTTTCTTGTCTGGTTCGGGCCAACGGCGAGGCTGACAGTGTCCGATCCGGCGCTGATACGGGAAATCTTCCTCGTCAAGCAGGATATGTTCGAGAAGAATGAGTCCCCTTTATTGGTCAGGAAGATCGAAGGCGACGGCCTCCTCAGCCTCAAGGGCGAGAAATGGGCGCACCATAGGAAGGTCATTCAGCCCACCTTCCACACTGAGAATCTCAAGGTTTGATGTTTTTGTTTATGTTGTAATGATAATAATAATAATTATTAATTGATTATTTAATTTTAATTTTTTAATTTTTAATTTTTAATTTTGATTTTGAATTGCAGCTGATGATTCCGATGATGGCGAAGAGCGTGGAGGAGGCGGTGGCGGAGTGGAGCGAGGAAATGGCGGCGGCGGGGAAGGTCGAGATCGAGGTGTCGGAATGGTTCCAGAATCTTGTCGGAGATGTGATTACACGTGTCACTTTTGGCAGCAGCAGTTACGCCGAGGGGAAGGCCATTTTCGACCTGCAGTCGGAGCAGATGGCGCACGCCACCGAGGCTTACCAGAAGGTCTTCATACCCGGATACAGGTGGGTCCTAGTTCGGATCCGGTTCCGGGTTTGGACATCGGGTTTGGGTTTTGATCATTTAATTAATTAATTAAATTGGGGCAGCAGGTTTTTGCCGACGAGGAAGAACAGGATTTCTTGGAGACTGGAAAAGGAAATCCGGAAGTCGCTTCTGAAGCTGATCGATGGGCGGCGGCGGAGAAATTCGGGGTGTCAGGTGTCAGACGAATGTCCGAAGGATCTGCTGGAGGTGATGATACGGGCGGCGGCGGGGGACGAGGCGGCGGCGGCGACGGCGATCACGGCGAAGGACGTGGTGGAGGAGTGCAAGACGATATTCTTCGCGGGGAAGCACACGACGGCGAATCTGCTGACGTGGACGACGGTGTTGCTGGCCATGCATCCCCAGTGGCAGGAACAGGCACGTGAGGAGGTGCTGAGGGTGTGCGGAGCACGTGACACCCCAACTAAAGATGATCTCGCTAAGCTCAAAACGGTATTCCAGATCAACCCTCTTTCCTTGCTTCATTTTTTTACTATTTTCTTGCATTCTCTGTTCTTACCTGGTCCCCTCTACCCTCCCCCCCCCCCCCCCCTACTCTATTATACTCTCCCTACATCTCTCTTTTTTTTAAAAAAATAAAATTAATTCAATAAACTAAAACAAACCATAAAAGAATAATCAAATATCTATCTATCTGTTCCCAAAATTTAAATTAATTTATAAAAAAGCAGACACTTTAGCATGTGTTAGACGCGCAAAAAAAGGGGGGACTTATCTTCTGGATAGAAGGAGTTTCTAGGTCACATAAATAATTATTTTAATTTATTTTTTCAAAAATATCAATCATAGATAGAATGAATGCGTGTATGTATGTCCAATTCTCAATAAATCAAATCAATTAATAAAATATTTAGCTCTAATCTCGTTTTTGTCATTTTATTGAAGTTGATTTTGTAACTAAGATCTAGTTTTGTCTTCTTCCCCTTCCCAATCCCACCTCTTTTAAATAATTTAGTTAAAGACAAAAAATAAATTCAGGAGAGTCCGTAATTATTGGTAACAATTTTAGGCAATTATTATTATTATTATTATTATTATTATTATTATACCATTATTATAGATCTAATTAATTAATAATTATTATTTTATTTTTGGGTCCAACCCATTTGCAGCTGGGAATGACTCTGAACGAAACACTGCGGCTGTACCCACCAGCAGTGGCAATAATCCGACGGGCCAAAATGGATATGCAGTTGGGTGGGCTCCACATTCTACGCGGCACCGAGCTGCTAATTCCAATCCTGGCCGTCCATCACGACCCGGCTCTATGGTGCAACGACGTACACGATTTCAACCCGGCCCGGTTCGCCAAGGGCGTGCCCTTAGCCGCCAAGCACCCGATGGCTTTCATGCCATTCGGCTTGGGGGCGCGCCGCTGCATAGGACAGAATCTAGCCGTCCTCCAAGCCAGATTAGCCTTAGCCATCATTCTCCAGCGCTTCTCCTTCGAGCTCGCGCCGGCTTACCAGCACGCGCCGTCCGTACTCATGCTCCTCCACCCGCAGCACGGCGCGCCGGTTGTCTTCAGGAAATTATAGTTGGGGATGCGGAATTACAAATATGCCCCTGCATATATATTTTTTAAATCGTTTTGAAAAAGAAAAAAAAAAAGAAAAAAGGAAAAAAAGAAAAAAGGTAATCTTGAGCTTGTTCTTGTCCTCTGTCTAACATCTTTTACAGGTATTTCCTCTTAGGACTTGTAGAACTCTAACTTAGATCATGGGATGAATGTTTCATAGGATTTTGGTTTTTTGTCCTAACAGCCCCCCTGCCCTACCCACCCCTTATTTTATTTTTATTTTTCACTTTCTTAGTCTTATTTGATTCAAATGTTTGAAGGGCACTTCAAGTTTGGTCCTATTTAAATTACTACTAAGTCAATTATCCCAAGTGAGCAAGAAAAAAACTTGTATGATCACTTTGTGTATTGTGTGTGTATGTATATATATTGTCTTAACTTGAATTGTGGTTGTATTTAGGTATAGATTGTATAGGCATTGAGGGTCTTTTTTTCTTTTTTTAGTCAATCAAGTGAGGATTTCTTCAAGATTTTGTGTTAATTAATTTTGTTGTACTAAAATTTTGAGTAAAATATTGTCCTATTAATTGTTGCTTGAAGCCAAGAAATTTGGGTGATTTCTTGGATCTGCCTATGTTGTGTGAATTTGGGCAAGTTTTGAGGATTTGAGTACAGCTAAGTTCTGGTAATTGTAGCTTGCCAAGAAAACGACATTGAATTAATAAACTTAGGTGGATTAATTAATAATAGCTGTAAAAGAAATTTATTCCCTCCGTCCCAAAAGTATAATTTTATTGTGCTGCGCACATGATTTAAAAAATATTGATATTATATTGGTAGTCAGTAAAAAGTAATGATAAATGACTTTTTTGCCCTTGTGAGTATATTAGTGTAAAAAGTAATAACAATTGTGTAATAATAATGAAAAAGTAGGGATTGTTTTATGGCGATATTGTTATTTATGAAAATGAGACTATTGTTTTGGAACGGACAAAAATAGTAAACAAAACTATTATATTGGGACGAAGGGAGTAGTATTTTTTTTGTAAGGAATTGTATGATAAATAGATAAATTTCAAAGATAAAAAATGTCATAATAATTTTTTTCTCCCAATAAAAGTTAAAATGAAAAGAAGTGATAATATTGAATTGAAATTATTATAAGTGACATATGTAGTTAAAATAAACAGCCGTTTAGAACGGCTACTATTTCGTGCTCAGTACACAATATAATATTTAAATAAAGTAATGCTTATTTATATTTTCAAAGTACTATGCTACTATTTTGGTACATAGGAAATATATTATACACAGTAATGTAAAATATTTACTTATATTATTGTTTGTTTTATTGTAATTTAAAATTATTTTAAAATAAAATGTTGATTTAAATTTTATTTATATAATATTCTGATATGATATTTAAAAAAATATTAATATATTTTAATTAAAAATCATACAAAATAAATAATATTGATTTTATATTAAAATCACAAAAGAATTAACCTAGTCACTAATATTTATTTTTAAAAAAGTCAAATTAAATACTTAATTTTTATTTATTACAATATTAAAGCAGAAACTATTATACATACAAAATATTATATTTACATATATTTATATTACATCAAATATTTATTTATTTTTATTCAACTTTACTATATATACTCAAAACTCCAACCAAAATATAGTACTTCATCCGTCTCATGTATTATGAGCCTATTACTTTAGATACGAGAATTTAGGTAAAGTGTGATCAGTAAGTAATTAAAAAGTGTATTAGTAAAAATAATTATCGTATAATAAAATAATTGTGGATTAAGATTAAGATAACTAAATAGTTTAATTAAGATTAAAAAAATTACAAAATTTAAAATTTAAAATGAGATTAAAGTGTATAATTATATTTCAAAAAAAAAATGAACAAATTATGTGAGACGGACGAAAATAGAAAATAGGGACAAATTATGTGGGATGGAGGGGGTAAAACACAACCTAAAATATCTAGATCTCAATAATAATAATAATAATAATAATAATAATATAATTAATCGAGACAATGCTCAACTGGCAAAACGTGTTACAAGATGGACGATCAATAAATGATCAAAGACACACATAAGAAGGGAAATGTATGTATGTATATATATATATATATATTTATAAATATTATGCTTAAAATAAAATAAAATAAAATAAAATGAATTCAATGCAAATTTATCAATCACGTATTTTATTCAGCTTAATAATTATTGATTTATTTCTAGCTCTTTCTTCCAGCTTTCACTTGCGTTATAATTTAATTTAGTGCTTCCAGTTTTGGTGACATACAGCCAACATGCAGCCATATAATAATAGTGTTATAACAAATGGATTGTTATTTCTCTAATTATTATTTACAATATATATAATAATAATAATAATTCATGGAAGAATCTCACCCTCATACCACATTATATTTTAATTCAATTGGTTTCGTCACATATATATATATATATAATACATACACTCTTGTATATTGGTTATTCCAAAATTCTAATCCCCCAAACAGTTCGTACTTTATATTGTGTATTAAAAATATATATATTATATGTATACATTGTGTATTAAAAAAATATATATATATATATACACGAAACACAGAATATAATAATAATAAAAAAAAAGTAAGAAATAAAGAATAAATAAGTAAAAAAAAGCAAAGCCACTTGGGTCTCATGTCATGAGATAACTCTAGACAGCGCCGGCTACGTGGCATTTTCTCAGCCAATTGCGCACTGCACACGTTAGCAGAGGCGGGAAATAGCCAAACCCTTTCAAAACTACACAGGCCTTGATAATTTGATGCATGTATATATACTGCTATATATGTCCTCTAATCAATGTATTTATATATTTTTTTAGCATAATTTTATCAATTTTTTATATTTGGATTATGCATTTCTCTAAAAAAAAATTTTTTTTTTCTATCATAAAATATCCCATCAAATATTATTTTCATATCAAACTCAATCAATTTTTTTTTTCAAATTCATCAAAAGAAATACTCATAACATTTTATTATTATTATTATTATATAAATTTTATAATTTTTTACATAAAATACAGACACAATGATATTTTAGTTTTTTACAATCTATTTTATTTTACCTTCAATATAATACTACTACATCCGTCCATTAAAATTAGTTCATTTGGACTCGACACAGAATTAAGAAAAATGAATATTTTATTGAAAAAGTGATAGGTAGTTGAGGGTATTTTTGAAATGTTAATTAAAAAATAAAGTAAACGAAGAGAGATAGTGTAATAAAATTAGTGGTATTTGTTATAAACAAGTGTTGAATAGAGGGTAATAATTAAATATTAATTTGTTGACATTACCAAAATTAATTATGGAATAAACTTAGTGGACGGACTAAAACAAAATTGAGAATAAATTTAACGGATGGAAGAAGTATTATTTTTAAAATTTCGTGCGGATTTCAAATAAATTATTGTTTTAAAATGAATGGATTATATAAATTTTAAAATATTACTCTCATATTTTATATAAAGTCCTTAAAAAAGTAGGACATTTTGGTCTTTTATATTATACTTTATATCCACTTTCAATTAGATATTATTATTCGTTAATTCTGGTGCCAACCCCCAATAAGACGTCTCTTTTGGAACATATGGAGTATTATCTAAGGATAGAATTGAAATTTCATATGATTAATAATATAAATTCTGAATTAAAACAAATATGTAAAATTCATTAGTGGCAATGATGTAAATAGATGAAAAAAAATAGTAATAAAAATTTAAATAAGAATTATAAGTTTTTACTAAATATGATATTATAAACACATTTTTGATACTTTTGATAACCACAAATGAACTTATTGTTACAAAGCAGATGGAGTAATATATGTATGTAATATAATATATAATAAATATATAAATTTATATCTATGAATCTTCTATGATATAATTAAATTGTATTTGATAATATTATTGTAATAATAGATAAAAATAAAAAAGAGATTTTTATTTTTTCTAAAAAAAGGATAGGGACTACAATTATTAAAAAGAAAAAAGAAAAAAAGAAGAAGGGAGTAGATTAATTTCAAACATATCAAAATAACAAAAAAATTAATTAAGTTTGTACTGTGCTCTTTTTTTTTTTGGTATTTTTTTTAATATAATAATTTTTATATATGTGTTCTTTTATATAAAAGAGTGAGATTTATATATTGGATTAATAATTAATATGTTTTTGTGAAAATTTAAATAAAATTGATACTCCTTCATCTCATATTTTGTTTTATTATCATAACTAGTAAATATAGTTCATACTTCATTATAAAACTTATTATTATTATTATTATTATTATTGTTGTTGTTGTTGTTATATAAAGCTAATGTTTTTTATATTTAACTTAAATCATTCATTCACTGAAAATGTAAGGACAACATAGATATTTTAATATTATTTTGTACATACTACTGTTAAATTATCAATATTTTTTAATTTATGTGACATAGTTATTTTGCAATACCAATAATATTTAAAACATAAATATATCGATCGAATTAAACTTCTATGTTTTTGGGAATTTTGTAATCCTCGATGCTATCTTCTGGACGATGACACTCTTTTTCTCCACAGTCAATATGAACACATTCATATAAGTCGTCAATGTGACTCAATCTAAAATCTGTATAAAATAAATAAAATAAAATAAATATATAAATAACTTCATATCGATAATAATAATTTCTATTCATGTAGGATAAATGCATGTGTTTTAATAATTTAGGCTTGGTTTAGATAAAATTTTTGGAAATAATAAAATATTAACTTCCACTCTTTTTTTTCCACGTTTTTCAAAAAATATTAATACACTACACATATTTACTATTTTTATATTTTCTATACAACTCTATATACTTCACATGAAAATAATCTTTTTTAACATTCTTACATAACAAACACACCCTAGATGTTTAATAGAGAAATATTTTGTGAAAAAAAAAAAATTAATATAATTTTTTTTTAAAAAAATATTGTTAAAAAATAATAACAAAAGTTTCAACTATATCTATATAAAACAACCTTAATTAAAGTAGAGGTTGTTACTAAATTAAAACATTACACTTAATAGGTTACTAACAGATATACGAACTATTGTCATGTATGTAAATATATTATATTTTAATAATATAATATTATTGATTAATTAGAAGAACTTACGTTGAAGTATATCTTTGCAACGATCTTTAGCGCAACCAAACTGACATTTTATGTTGATTTGACTACTCGGATCGAGGATGCATTT